GTCAGGGTGGAGCCCCGCCTAGAATCCCCAGTGAGGGGCTGGGGGCGTGGTTAGGGCGGAGCCCCGCCTAGAACCCCCCAGTGAGGGCTGGGGGCGTGGTTAGGGTGGAGCCCCGCCCAGAATCTCCTAGTGAGGGGCTGGGCGCGTGGCTCAGAGACTACATAGCAAGTTCCAGACTAGCCTGGGCTAAAAGAAACAACTTTTTGAAAAGTCCCGAGTTCAATCCCTCTGTACCACAGGAAAAAGCCAAGTGGGCATTTGTGATCCTAGAGCTGGGCAGGTGGAGAGTGGCTCCTACTGACCCAGACAGTCTAGTCTAACTGGCAGTCTCCTGGTCATGGAGACACTGTCTCAAGAACACATGGAGAGGAAGTGAGCGTGGTCCCTGACTTCCACATCTGGCTCCTGATGGAGTCATTTTTAAATGACAAATATGGAGGCAGGACTCAGCCGGCAGTGTTCATCGTTTTATGACTCTTTACTCTTTTGGGGTTCCCACCAAAGCTCCCAAATAAATCACACACAGAAGCTTATTCTTAATTATGAATGCCTGGCCTTAGCTTGGCTTGTTTCTTGCGAGCTTTTCTTAACTTTAAATTATCCCATCTGCCTTTTGCCTCTGGGCTTTTTCCTTTTCTTACTTCTGTATACTTACTGGCTGTGTGGCTGTGTGGCTGGAGTCTGGCATCCTCCTCTCCTTGTTCTCTTGTTCTTTTTTCCTTTCCTCCCAGATTTCTCCTATCTATTCTCTCTACCTGCCAGCCTGCCTGTCCTTTCTCCTGCCTTGCTATTGGCCATTCATCTCTTTATTAGACCATCAGGTGTTTTAGACAGGCCCAGTCACACAGCTTCACAGAGTTAAACAAATGCAGCATAAAAGAATGCAGCACATCTTTGCATCATTAAACAACAATCTTAAAATATTCCACAACAGGCAGAGAGCTCACCCAGCATGGAAGCAGCCCTGGCTTCTGTCCCCAGCAACACAAAGCTGACCTCTGTCTGTCCCCAGTACTCAGGAGGGAGAGGCAGGAGATTACAGAGTTCAAGGTCATTCTTGGCTACTTTGGGAGTTCAAGGGTAGACTGCTCTAGGTGAGAATCTGACAGAAGACAAAAGGATGAAGCTTTGCTGTTTTCTTACAAGTCCCTGGGCCTGGCCTCCCTGGTTCAGCGTCCAGCTGTGCTCATCCAAGTATGTCCTTATCCACAAGACCCCTGGCAGCCAGTGCCCTCACCCAGCTCAGGACAGACGCTCCCATGTCGACACCCATGCCAGTCCGGCACTTGGCTTACCAGGCCACTGCCTTCCTCCCCACAAAAGGACCCAGGCCCAGCTGCAGCTGCACAAAGGCCCCTGTGTGCACAGTCTTTCAGGCGGGGATCCAGGCCACGGTGTCTGCTCACCTGTCAGGGAGAAGCCCGGACCCACCAGGACACTGGAGAGGCGGGTGGAGGAGAGACAGTAGGTACATTTTGAGACAGCTTGTAGCCCAAACTGGCTTTGAACTCACTAAGTAGCCAAGAGGGCCCTGAACTCTTGCTGTCCTGCTTAGCCCTCCAAGTGTCGTGATGGCAGGTTCCAGCATACCTGGTTTGGATGAAGCAGGGAGCCAGCGAGTCATCCATGCCGGGCTCTACCCATTGCCCAGCCTGAAGTCAATGATTGCATTTTGTTGTCGGTTTTTGGTTATTTGAGACAGGGTTTCTCTGTGTAGCCCTGGCTATCTTGGAACTCGCTCTGTAGCCCAGGCTGTCCTGGAACTCACTCTGTAGCCCAGGCTGGCCTCAAACTCACAGAGATCCACCTCCCTCTGCCTCCTGAGAGCTGGGATTAAAGGCGTGCGCCGCCACCGCCCCGGCTTTTAATTTTTAAAATGTTTATTTTTTCATTCATTTATTTATTGGGGAGACAGAACCTCACTGAAAGTGTGGAAGCTGGGGCAAGAGGATTGCCAGTTTGGGGTCATCCTGAGCTACAGGAGTTTATGCACTTGGTTGACCGGCCATGAGGTTGCAGCAGAGAGCAGAGGCCAAGGCCAAAGTCTCACTCCAAGCAGCCATCTGGAACCCGGGTGTTCTGTGCCCTGCTTGTTTTCTCTCTGTGAAATACAGGGTTTCTCTGTGTAGCCCTGGCTGTCCTGGATCTCGCTCTGTAGGCCAGGCTGGGCTCGAACTCACAGAGATCCTCCTGCCTCTGCCTCCCGAGTGCTGGGATTAAAGGTGTGCACCCCCGGCGGGCTGTGAAATACATTTTTAAGGTCAAAAGAGGAGGAATAACAGGATAACACCTTGAAGGCTGGGGGCGTGGTCAGGGTGGAGCCCCGCTCAGAATCCCCAGGGACGCCTAGAACCCCCCCACTGAGGGGCTGGGGGCGTGGTCAGGGTGGAGCCCCGCCTAGAATCCCCAGTGAGGGGCTGGGGGCGTGGTCGGGGTGGAGCCCCGCCTAGAATCCCCAGTGAGGGGCTGGGGGCGTGGTCAGGATGGAGCCCCGCATAGAATCCCCAGTGATGGGCTGTGGTGTGGCTCTTTTGAAAGGCATCTTTTTTTTTTTACATACATAAGGTATTTAATGTTTCTTATTTTCTCTTCCATTAAGCACTGTAACATTAACATTGTTAAATTTGGTTGAAAAAAGCATACATGATGGGAGTACATCATCTACCGTTAGACTTGTACTCAGGAGGTGGATACATGAGGATCATGAGTTCAAATGTATCCTTGAATCATTACTAACATCCAATCTAAACATAATTACAAGCACATATCTCAAGGGAATTTGTGAAAATATGAAAAACAAAGACAGCAACAAAAACCCACCACCATTTTAAAGATAACCTTACTTAAAAAGTATGATCACACACTGCCTGATATTTAAGTAAACAGTGGACCACTTAGATTATGGGTATACCATTCTATACATTGTAGTAGAAAAATACCTATCACTAAGAAAAGTACGATAGAAAATGAACAAAAGGCATAGGAGAAGCACAAAGACTACAAAATAACATCACTAAACGTATTTGTCACATATAGCACACTGTAGTATCTACCTCCAAAGTTTCAAGATAGAAATCACAATGATCTCCACCATTAACCCTGCGTGAACATGCTAAGTAATTTACTTCCTTCAAGTGTATGATGAAAAATGAACGAAATATGATTTCTTTTTCTTGAAGCTGAAGACAACAGTGATGTCTAAAGTTTTTTCCAAATTGTTTACATGAATAGTGTTTTTCTCTTGTATGAGTTTGTCCTCATTTCCACACTTCAAAATGATACAAATAGACTTTAAAAAATTACAGCACTAGAGATATGACTGGGCAGTTAAGAAATGTTCATTCCCAGGATCAAGGTCTGATTTTTGACTAGTTCCTGTTATTCATCTTCAAGATCCAATGGTCTAATATTTTCAGCAAGCAGATTGCATGATCACATCGCCACACAAACACAGCGACATCACATAATTACAGGTACAACAACCGTTTAAAGAAACAATTTTATATGAAGGATTTTCTTCTTTTAAGCATTAATTACTGTACTAAGTTTGGAGACATCTAACTGTTTTCAAAATTTGTCTTCATCGTTAGTTGTTTCATGTAACAGAAAGCTGGCATGTAGGCTTCAAGCCAGGGCAATCAATCCTTCTAAGTTGGTGGTATCCTTATGGAATTTTTAGGAAATGCTGCCCTGCTGGAGTAAATATGTGACTGGAGGGAGGGCTTTAAGAAAGTACACCAGCACACCATTTCCAGGTCCCATTCTCTGCTTCAGGCTGCCTCCCGCTTTAACTGCCATGTCTGACACTTATTGCCATGCCACTTTCATGCTGATACTGCATCCCTCTGGATCCAATGGCCAAATTATACTCATTTATACGTTGATCTGGGCATTATATCTGAACAGAAAAGGAAATCATACAAATACATAAAATTTTATACCTGAATTAGATATTTCATGCAATTTAAGAGAAGTACAAAATCTAATATGGTTACATTACCATTTAAATCAGTAGTGCAAGTTCCAAAATTACACAAAGAAACCTTGTCACAACAAATAAAAAATAATAATAATATAAAAATAGTGCAAGTTTTTACCGTTCTGGAGGGAAAGATACCCCAACTGTCAGACTTTTCCCTAGAGCTATGAAGGGAAGCTATCCTGATGCATGCTGCTTTGAGGGAAAAGGCAACCTGAATATTGAGAAGTCAGGCTACACCTGATGCTGTGCTTCAGTGGGCCACAGCCTCCCTGCAAAATGGGTGCTTCCTGAATCATCTGCTCCAAGGGAGAGCCGAGGCTGGGGCATTACTGCCTTGATCTGATTGCATTTTCTTCTGTTCTCTCAACCCCCTTGGCTGGTCCGGTCATCTGCCTTCCTCCTGCTGCGTTTCTGACCGGGTTCCTGGGGTTTCCGCAGACCCCTCCCTGAAGACACTGGGGTGGAGCTGCTGGGCGGCGCAGTGGAAGACTCGTCCTGTAAGTTTACAGAATGCGCAGAAATGTGAGCTTGGTTTCAGGGTGCGATGATGCCCGGGGCTGCATGCAGGGTGGGGTGTCTGCAGCCTGGGCCCGAAGGGGTAAGAGGACACCCACATGAAGACTGGGTGGGGCGTCTGCAGCCTGGGTCCGAAGGGGTAAGAGGACACCCACATGAAGACTGCGCCATGTCACTGTGAGCCTTTAGCTGTTTTCCGATGTCTCTGTGCAGGTAATGCGCTTCCAATCTAGAGGACTGATGAAATGGGGGGATGGCTCAGTGGGCAGCGCACTCGCTGTTCTGGTCTAAGAACCTGAGTTCCGATTCCAGAACCTCAGGGCGGAGGGCGTGGGGTGGGGATCAGGCATGGTGTAGCACGATTTCCGTCCTGCACTGCAGGATGGCTGGGACTCACCGCCGGCTACCTCAGTCAGCCACCCCAGGTTCAGGGAGAGCCCCGCGGAGAAGACACAGGGAGAGAGCGAGGACACTGCACTCCCGGGCACCCGCACACACAGTTAGAAAACACGCGTATCTCAGTTTGTGTCTGCACATGGAGACACGTGCGGGGAGTCCCTAAACAGGAGGCTGAGGCAGGGGGATTGCCAAGTTCAGGACAGCCTCAGCTGTGGAGACAAACCCAATTGTGAGCCGCTCACAGCATAATGCCCCTGCCTGTGTGCCTTCCTCCAGGGCTCCCTCCTCATCGGTTTTAGTTCTCGGACAAGAATCCAGAACTTGGGCTGGAGAGCTGGTTCAGTGGTTAAGAGCACCGACTGCTCTTCCAGAGGTCCTGAGTTCAATTCCCAGCACCCACGTGGTGGCTCACAGCCGTGTGTGATGAGATCTGGCGCCCTCTTCTGGCCTGCAGTCATACATGCTGTATACATAATAAATAAATAAATAAATAAATAAATAAATAAATAAATAAATAAATAAATAAATAAATAAATAAATAAATCTTAAAAAAAAAATAAAAGAATCCAGAACTTAACACTGAGGCACTCCAACGGCCCCTCATTGGGGGATTCTGGGCGGGGCTCCACCCTGACCACGCCTCCAGCCCCTCACTAGGGATTCTGGGCGGGGCTCCATCCTGACCACTCCTCCAGCCCCTCACTGGGGATTCTGGGCGGGGCTCTACCCTGACCACGCCCCAGCCCTGATTTTGTATTTAAATCACACATATTGAACTCATCCTGCGCCCTGTTGGCCTCAACCCATGGCAATCCCACTCTCTAAGCCTCCCACCAGCTACAGAGTGATCCTGAGGACACACTGGGCCTCTCCAGCTCCAGCCAGGGTTCCTTCCACACCACGCCCCCTGCATCTTACAGCTCCAAATGTCGTGATCCATCCCAGCACAAGAAGGGAGACCTGGGCCTCAGCCAGCGGTTCTAGGTCTGAAGCAATGCTGCTGGGAAGAGTCAGCACAGTCCACCTCCAACGGGCGGGAACGGGGCAAGATGGGGTCACGTGGAATGTGGAAACCTGTAGCTGGAATTTTCTTCAGGCCACCAACCGGCTCCCACATAAAGACATGGAGACTTAATATTAATTATGAATGCTCAGCCTTAGCTGGGCTCGTCCCACTGGCTCTTATAACTCAGTTTAACCTGTTTCTCTTCATCCACGTTTTACCTTGGGGATTTTTACCTTTCTTTGATTCTGTATGTCATGCTTTCCTGCTTCCTCCGCATCTGGCTGGCCAGCCCCTGGCATCCCCCATCGTCTCTTTTTCTTTCTTCCCTGAGCCCAAATTCCTCCTTCCTGCTTATTCTCCCTGCCCAGAAGTCCCACCTGTGCCTCCTCCCTATCTATAGGCTGCTCAGCTTTTTATTAGACCAATCAGGTGCCTTAGACAGGCAAAGTGAAACAGCAACACATCTTTACATAATTAAGCAAATATTATGCAATATAAACAGAGGCAACACATCTTTACATAGTTAGATAAATATTCCCCAACATCTCCTCCTTTTGTCTAAATAAAAGTGGTTGGTATGTAAAATGAATTTTTAAAAAAATTAAAAAAATAAAAACTGACACTAAATTTTTTTAAAGTTTTATCTCTAATATAGTAAGATACTAACAATTATCAAGCAAGAACTATATTCACAATAACCAGTCCATTTGTATTTGGCAAATTTAGAGAAAAGACTCCATTATCTGTCCAGTCTTGCTGAGTCCATAGGTGTGTATCTAATCCACCTTCTATCCTAACTGTATTACCAACCCAAAACCACCTTTTTAGACCTCAAGACAGAACATTTTCCTAGATAAACAATCTAAGTTTTTATGTCTCTCAACCTTATAAACTTTACATCACTTTTGTGAGTTTATTTTCTGAATTTGGTAACAAAGAAAACTGTAAAACTATAACTATCTAGTCTTCAACCCTGTCGGAGACCTGAGAAGAATATATATTACCTGAATAAACAGGAAGTGCAGAGCAAGCCACTTCCAAAACTATAGAAATGACAGAAACAGCTGGCTGCCTGGACAGCCACCCAAGGTTCCTCTGCAAAGCTGGAGCATCCATCTTCGCCCCACAGGTCCAGAATATCTGACAGACTCTTATGTGAAGCAGGGATTTTGAAGGACTGTCCTGCCTCGTTCTGATGAAGTTTGGCAGGCACTTTTTTTGTGTCCTGCTGGTCCAGTTTGGACAGCATACTGTCAGCAGTCGAGGTAAGGGCGGTTTCTTGCCCAGGGGCTAACTTTGCCACAAATGAAAGCAAACTCCATATGAAGTTTCTTTGATGCCCATCATCTTCCCTGAAGTAGATTGGTACTGCCAGGAGCAGATGTGTCTCACTGTCATGGAAATTCTTATGTTATTAAAACATCTTAAATGTCATATTCTCTAGGTCTCTGGAGTGTCTGAAGACCATCTATCTAAAATATATCTCTGTTTGACCTTGAAAACATACCTGACTATAAGTTTGATTGTTATAGATAACTAGCTACTAACCTGTGTTTCTTAATTAACTTAAACAGTTTATAATAATAGCTTTCAAGCACTAGAATTTTATATTTCCTTTTAAAATGAGCTGCATAGGTACAATACCTTAAGCAAGAGTATAAACATATGTACAATGTAACAAAAATAACCTTAAGTTTGCATCAATATATAAAAATCCATACCATTGTTAAATATTTGAGATGAATAGTTGTCTTTTAATTCTATATTTCTTTGTCCCTGCTAAATGATGACAAACATTCACAACCTATCGAATGACCAAAACCACCACCCCACCTCTTGGGAATGTGGGCATCGTGTACTCTAGACTGCTTCCTGTTGTACAGAGGTGATGGTGTCCTCAGGGAACCCTGAGAAAATTGAGATAATGATCAAGTCCTCAGAAAACTAGCTGTAACATTTGTTGTCCAGTCTCTGTGTAATAGGAAAATGCAAGGCTTATCTTCAATCCTGGCTGGAGTAGTCTGTGAGGCTGGACCATCTCAGCCAGCAGCAGCCTTGAAGCTGTTCTGGATACAGAACTCTGAGGAAACTGCAGCAGGGACATTCTGAGAGGGTGGATCACCTGGGCCACTTGTCTTTATTGGTGTCTGGTCCTTTTTTCCTTTCTGAAAACACACAAACTTTCAAAGGTAATACACATATCTGCATCAACATGAGTATGGATTGTGAAGTGTGCACAAGCCAGCTAAAGATGATTTTTTATTCTGTTTGTGCAGGTAAAAGACATATGTCAACTTTATAAGTTAGTTTGGACTGTATAACCAAACCTCTATCCATGCCATATGAAAGGATGGCATGTAATAATAAGTCACAAGGACTCTGTAACCAGACTTACCTTGTCTCATCCTGTCTTAGAGCTGTTCCTATGTCAAGGGATCAGCATATGTCACCTGTCTTGCAGTTTTTCTAGTTTTATTTCTTTATGAATGTAGCCAAGATTTTCATGGGGTCTCTTCCCCAGTCAAATCTTGTCTCTATTAATTTTGAAGGAATCCATAGCCTTTCATTTCCTGTGGAAACAAAATCATAACTTCTCCCCCAATGCAATACATTTTCTGAATTCCATTTTAAAGTTAAGGCATCCCTAAAGCATCTAGGATGGTTTAATTCAGAGTCCCTGTTACAGTCCAGTGTCTCTCCGCCACTGCTCTTTGCTCATCAGCCTTCAAAAACCTCAAAGTAAAAAAGAAACCGTACAGAACCCAGACTCCCTGTGTGTTTCCCTTCTTTACGTGGCTTATTCTTTTTTATTACTTTACTCTTTCTTTAAAGACTTTACTTAATTATTTTTAAACTATTTTTTCCTACAACTGTCTATACCCATTTTCTTTTCTTTCTTAAGCACCTGTGCACATTGTAACCTGTTTAAAGGATTTTCGCCTGCACGAGTTTTACTGTGCACATGTAGTGTTCTCTGGCCACAGGTGCCAAACCTGCTAAGTGTCAGCTAGGACCTCCACCGTGTGGCTCCCGTTGGCTCCACCCACTTCTCCGGCCCATGACAGCGGCACCAGGGCCTGGCTGAGAGCTGCATTTAACCGCCCCAGCTCTTGGAAGTTGGTGCCCACACTGTGGCGGGGGTTTACTTAGCGGGCGGCGCCTCCCAAGGGAGCCATGTCCACTTCCTTTTCTCTGTTTCTTTTTTCCCAGCTTTCTCAGGCCCTGTGTGGAAACTCAGGCCCCACGTTGGACACCATTTATTGTTGGAATTTTCTTTGGGCTGCCAACCAGCTCCCAAATAATGACACAGAGACTTATTATTAATTATGAATGCTCGGCCTTAGCTTAGGCTTGCCGCACCGGCTCCTACGACTTATGTTAACCTGTTTCTGTTCATCTACATTTTGCCTCGGGGCTTTTTACCATTCTTTCATTCTGTGTGTCCTGCTTTCCTGTTTCCTCTGTGTCTGTCTGTCTGGACCCCAGTGCCTGCCTGGCATCTCTTTTCTTTCTTCCCCTGACCCTAAATTCTCCTCCTGTTTACTCTCCCTGCCTGGAAGTCCCGCCTTTACCTCCTCCCTCACTATTGGCCATTCAGCTTTTTTTTTTTTTTTTTTGCTTTTTCGAGACAGGGTTTCTCTGTATAGTTTTGCGCCTTTCCTAGAACTCGCTTTGTAGACCAGGCTGGCCTTGAACTCACAAAGATCCACCTGCCTCTGCCTCCTGAGTGCTGGGATTAAAGGCGTGCGCCACCACCGCCCGGCTGGCCATTCAGCTTTTTATCAGACCAGTCAGGTGCCTTAGGCAGGCAAAGTAAAACAGCAACACATGTTTATATAATTAAACAAGTGCAACACATCTTTACATAATTAAACAAATACTCCACAACAGAGACCTGTCAGGGAAAGAAACATGTAGCAAGAGGCATCTCTCTGTCTCTCTCTCCCTCCTCTCTCTTACTGTTTTGGGTTAGGGCCTCCTGTAGCCCTAACCTGAGCTGGCCAGGAACTCACTATGTAGCCGAGGATGACCTTGAACTCCTGACTCTCCTGCACTGCCTCTAGGGTGCTACAATGACAGGCATCAGATGCACCCTTGAGCCTGGCAGGATTTCCTTTTTAGTGTCCAAACCATTTTGGGTGGTACATACCATTTTTAAAACTTTAAAAAAAAATTTAATTTAAAAACTTTAAAAATCCAGCACTCAAGAGGCAGAGACAGGTGGATGGATCTCTGTGAATTGAGGCCAGCCTGGGCTACAGAGTGAGTTTCAGGGCAGCCAGGGCTGCACAGAGAATCCCTGTCTCAGAAGTGAAAGAAGAAAAAAAAAAAAACAACTTTAACACTTCCCTCTCTTGTAATCCGAATCTACTTTGATGCATATTTAATGATCCCCCAGTATCCCAGGCCCCTCCCCCAGTACAGCCAAAACCTTTCTTCTGCCTAAACCCCCCCCCCCCGCCTCTTTTCTGAATTTTTTTGGTTGTTTGTGGCATCTCATCAGGGTTGCCTGGAACAGCACCTTCCATCTTGGCGAAGTCCAGAGGCCAGGACCGAGATGTCTGGCCAGTTCCAACTGGATTTCTCCATGTCCTGCCATGGTGTGTGGTTTCCTTAGGATGGGGTCTTACATGTAGGTCAGGCGGGCAGCCCAGAGCGAGCCAAAAGTCTGTCATCTGGAGACCTGGCAAAGGAGGCATCGTCCTTTTTATCTTCTCTATTTTTTTGTTCCTTTGTTTGTTTTTTGAGACAGGGTCTGGTGGAGCGCAGGCTAGCTCAAATTTATGTAGCTAAAGATGACCCAGGATTCCTGATCTTCTGTGTCCTTGTCCCAAGTGCTGGGTGACAGGTGTGCATTCTAAGGCCTTGTAAGCTTTTCTGTGTACAATAGAGCCTTCTACGTGTGTATCGGGGAGGGGTACCATTTTATTTGCGGCAGAGTCTCACTGTGCAGGGCTGTGCTGGATCTCGCTCTGTAGCCCAGGCTGGCCTACAACTCACAGAGATCCGCCTGCCTCTGCCTCCCGAGTGCTGGGATTAAAGGCGGGGGCCACCACACCTGACCTGGCAAATACCATTTTTGACGGCGAATTCCATTTAACATGTTTATTTTTTAGGCAAATTCAAATTTGTTCTCTCTCTCTCTCAATGATATTAATTTTAATTTAAGGCTTGACAATGATCCCCTTCACCTCACATACCTGTCCTTTGGTCCCATCACGCTGTTGGTGACGTGTCACCTCCACGTGTGACCCTGGGCCACGATTTTGATGCTGCCCTGTGGGAAGAGTCAGTGGCGTCATTTTGACCGACCTCATGGGTCCGGAGGCTCCGCCCACTTCTGGGAGGGAGGAGAGAGGGTGGCAGCCCCGGGTTCGCGCTCAGCGACAGTGACCTCACACCCCGAGGTTCCCAGTGGGGACCTGGACACACTTCCGCTGCACGGTCACCTGGGACCTAAAAACACAACTTCTTCCTGAGTGGGTGGCACGGGTGGGGACTAGTTCAGAATTTTCTTGGAAAGCTTGCATTTATTTCCAGAGGCGGTTCTGACTGGCTGGGCAGAGTACAAGCTAAAGGGGCAGGAGAGGAGTTGTGAGGACTCTTAGAACAGAGGGCCATTGCAGTGAGGGGGCGGGGCCACCCTGACCACGCCCCAGCCCCTCACTGGGGATTCTGGGCGGGGCTCTACCCTGACCACGCCCCAGCCCCTCACTGGGGATTCTGGGCGGGGCTCCACCCTGACCACGCCCCCAGCCCCCTCACTGGGGATTCTGGGCGGGGCTCCACCCTGACCACGCCCCCAGCCCCTCACTGGGGGATTCTGGTCGGGGCTGCACCCTGACCACGCCCCCAGCCCCTCACTGGGGATTCTGGGCGAGGCTGCACCCTGAGCCACACCCCCAGCCCCTCACTGGGGGATTCTAGGCGGGGCTCCACCCTGACCACGCCCCAGCCCTGACTGGTGGATTCTGGGCGGGGCCGACCCTGACCACGCCCCCAGCCCCTCACTGGGGATTCTAGGCAGAGGCTATTGCCCCCAGTTTGTGTTTTGTGGGTTGCTAGGTGACGGTTTGTGGGAGTCAGCTCTGTGTCCCCCACGAGGGCTCTGAGAATGAAGCCACCAGGCGGGTCCCCCAGCTGCTGACCTGTCCCCTGCCTACTGAGCCATCTAATCAGCCCTGTGTTCTGAGAGACCTGCCAAGGCCAGGCTGCCCTGCACCTTCCATCCTCCTGCCTCAGTGACTGGGATGACAGGCACCGTGATGGTTCTCAGTCACTCTGCCCACAACGGCTAGAGCGTCGTCATGGCGCCACTGGGCACACTGGGCACACCGACTCCGGGGGTCGCCCCCTGTTGTCCTTAAGCCACCCTGTCCAGACACCGCTGTGGGAGCTAGGGACAAACACGGTGACAGATTTGGGGAGGACGTAGACTTCCCCGTCATGGTCCGTCCTGAGGGACGTCAGGGCAGGAACCCGGAGGCAGGAGCGGAGGCCCTGGTTGCTTTCTTTCCTTTTAAAATGTTCTCTCATGCATTGCATCCTGACTGCATCTCCCCTCCTCCCTCTCCTCCCAGTCCCCCACACCTCCCCTGTCCCCCTCGTCCGCGCCTCTCTCTCCCTTCGGAAAAGCAGCGGCCTCAGGGATTTCCACCAGACACAGCTTAACCAGTCACAGGGGCCTGGGCACCGACGTTAGGGCTGCTGCAGGCGACCCGGTGTGAGGATCAGGGTCCCCGGTGTGAGGAGCAGGATCCCCGGTGTGAGGATCAGGGTCCCCGGTGTGAGGATCAGGGTCCCCGGTGTGAGGAGCAGGGTCCCCGGTGTGAGGAGCAGGGTCCCCGTGTGAGGAGCAGGGTCCCCAGTGTGAGGAGCAGGGTCCCCGGTGTGAGGAGCAGGGTCCCCGGTGTGAGGAGCAGGGTCCCCGGTGTGAGGAGCAGGGTCCCCGGTGTGAGGAGCAGGGTCCCAAAAGCCAGCAAGAGTCGGAGACAGCCGGGCGGTGGTGGTGCAGGCAGGAGGATCTCTGAGCTCGAGGCCAGCCTGGGCTACAGACTAGATCCAGGACAGCACACACACACACACACACACACACACACAC